AAAAATTGGATATTAAAGTTCCGGCTGTTTCACTTTTGGTTTAAAAGGAAACAAGACAAATGAACCAGCCCGGCCGCTTCAAAAAACCATATTAATAGAATAAGCTCTTACCTTTAATCCGTAAATTGTAAATTCGCCCGTTTCCCCCTGGGTTTTTGGTAGTATTAATGTTCAAAAACGGACCAAAGACCTACTTCTCATCTCCTAACGCTTCCCTCTACAGCGCGAGTACACTTCTTTCAGTTTGCTTATTTACTACAGTTTCAACCTGCTTTACGCTAGCGCCGCGCCGTTGCTATGTAGCGTAAGACAGTCTCTTGGCAACGTTGAGCAGGGTCAGTTCTGCGTGAAGGCTATAGCTCCTAAATACACAACAAAGCATACGAATTTATCATTATTATGATATTGTAAATATGTCTGTCCGTAGAAGGAGGGGTCAATATAAGCAGTGAAAGAGTGAGAATAACTTTATTGATAACTGTCGTAACCGAATTACCAAAAACTTAACTGCTGTGCTTCTTAATTAAATGAAGAACGCGTTTAAACCTATTTTCAAAATGATTTATTATTGTAGGGTACATGAATACAAGCTAAGGTTATTAAAATAATGGTTAAACAGTTTTGCCTGCTATTTTTTCATGGCCAGAAGGGATTTTTCTGATGGATAATAATGCATTATTAAAATATGGTGTAGATGCCTTTATTTTGTTGTGCAAACCAAATTAAACGGTGGAATTTAATAACAAACCCCGTATAAAGCCTTTATCATGATGAGTATCTCCAGGTGATATAGAGAAACAATGCTGTAGCCCAGTTCATTTGCTGATAATATTCAGTGTCACACAGAGTCCAACAATGAACGACGTAATTATCTGAGGTAATAACACAATAGAGAAGGCCATGGTACTTCACAGTATCAATTACAGATAATACAGGTAGAATTGTTTAATGTGGTGCTCCTGCCAAAAGTAACCAGTTTGAAACAGACCTGTTGATGCTTGACTCCTTGGTTGTGATTCAGTTGAAAGCTTACAATGTGAAACTTGTCACCACAACAGCGCAGACCGAGTACTTATAAAATCCAAGTGTTATGATACCATTCAGGACTCGTGCACAGCTAGAAAAGGCTGCAGTAAGGCACGAGCTGAGGTTAATTCCACGCTAAAAAAGCAGACAGACGAAACAAGACATGTGGGCTGTTGAGCTTACTGCAGGCTTGAATGATGGTTCTGGTTCCCGAGTGTCCGGAAACAGAACAGAACAGTCCAATTCTTCCACACAGGGGGTCTGCTCTGCTGACCGGGAGCTCTTCATATTTCTATCATTATAAATTAATTAGCAGAAGCTGACTGGGATTTTATGTTCAAAATGAAGACCCTCCATTTCAGAAACGGCGGTCCTGTGCAGGGCAGGGCAAAAATGTCAAAAACCTCCTACTCTGAGCACGGCTGACAACTCCGGAATAAAGCTTCCCCAAGCCATTCCGGGAGGATTCCCGTAATCAAGGCCCGTGTCCTCCCGAGAGGAACATGCTTCCCAAGCGACTGTCACTGGCTCCTCTGATCGCACCCTACTGTATGTGTGAGGGCCGCCCAGGGTAACGGAAGAGGGGTATCTGCTGGCTGCTCAGTGGGGACACGAGAGCTCGCTGTCGCACGGGTTTGGGGGCCCCTCCTTCTGCACTGCCCCGGCTGCGGTCCCTGGCGCCCCGACTCCGTCACTCGTACTTGCAGTAGTGCTTGAGGAGTTCAGGGAGCTCCAGCCAGTCCAGGGCCATCCTGTGGACGATGTGCTTCTGAATGGTCTGGCGGCACAGGGTCTGCAGAGAGGGGACTGAGACGAGAGACAGGAGAGTGAGAGGGAGAAAAACCCAACAGGAAAGGCTGTGATTTGGCTTCGCTGCTGCAGGGGCCTCGTTTCATGCAGGCCTCTGCAAGCTGTAGCAAACCCTGTCTTTGCTCATTTCACCGTGAAAGGGGAGGAGACATCAGGTCGCAGAGATGCTAAACTAACCAGGAAAACTCAGGACTTGTAAACATGCAGGTCCTTTGCATAACCAAATGAAAACCAACCGACTAATTTGCACTTTTTCATTCTCTGGGGCTTTCAAAAAGGTGGGGAGGTTAAGCCTGCTGACATTCACCGAGAGGCGGTGGCGCCCGCTGGACGACCCCCCCAGACAGAGCGCGCGGGCCACACTCACAGCCGTACTCCACCTGCACCACGCGCACGCTCTTGGTGGCGGCGAAGACGTCGACCACCGCGAACAGGGGCCGCTGGGCAGGGATGCCCCTGGCGCTGGCGCCCATGTCCTCCCCGTTGATGACGATGTGCATGTCGGCGGCGCCCCGCCCGCTGGGCACGAACAGCACCCCGATGCGGCTCCGGCGGGCCGTGGGGGGCAGCGTGTTGGTCTTGTACAGGTCGTCCAGGATGTGGCTGAACCGGCCCGGGCGGCTGCGGCCCACCAGCTTGTCCCGGGGGATGCGCGCGCCCCCGATGTGGAGGTGGGTGTCGGTGAAGAAGCTCTTGGGGGAGCTGCCCCCCTCTGCCTCTCCCTCTCCCTCTCCCTCGACCACCCTGTTGTGGTTCCGGGTGATGGCGAACACCCAGCTGTCGCCCATGCCCACCAGGTCCGGCAGGGAGTACTCGGGCACCGCGGCCAGGCCGCCGGGGTCGTGCGCCGTCAGCCCCACCCTCAGGTGTCCGCACCAGCCCAGCTCCTTGTCCTCGATCTCCACCAGGAAGATCTCGCCAGGGGCCAGGGGCCGCCTGCTGAAGCACAGCCCGTCGGCGAAGCTCTCCACCCGCGTGGCCCGGGTGCCCGCCTGATCCAGGCGGACGTTGGCGCCATGGACGGGGTGGAACTCCAGGAAGCGCCCGGCGAAGCCCTCCATCTGGGCCTGCTCAGCGCCGGCCCGACTGCGTCCTCTCCAGCAGGCCTCAAGCGGGTCTCTGGCTATTTCAGGCCTGCCGCAGGGCTCTGTGCGTCGTCACTGCAGCTGTCTGACAGGTGGCAGAGTGCTGTGGGGGACAGAGGAGACTGGGGGAGGGGGGGCGGACTTGAGGTCTCCATAAAAGGCCCGGGAGAGGGCAGTGATAACAGGACTCCCTGAACGCTGGAGGACTTCCCAGGCCCCATGCACAAGACACAGGGATAGAGCCGGGGTGCTTGACCCACGGATTTTAATACTACAGGGACAACCTCGCAAGACACCTCCCCGACCCCAGGAAAACATCCCGTTTCCACGCATTTCCGCTCCCCGTCCGTCCAGACGGCTACCGAGCTGCCCGAAGTCACGTGATCCTGATCGCCCCCCCTCGTCACCTGACGCCCCAGTCATGTGACGTCCCTTATCAGCCGGGTCACATGATCTCACCCCCCAAGTCAGGCGCTCGACGGTCAGAGCGCATTCAGGAAGGAGCCGGACTAGCACAAAAAGGTAAAGCTGAAATCATTGTCGTTTACAGTGATGTACTCGGTTACAGCGCTTAGAAAGCGACGGCTTCCAGCTTGTGTTAAATGTACGAGTGTATTTCAGCCAGTCGCTAAGTTTCGTGGCATCTTTGGAGGACGTCACTGTGTTTCTGTTGTCCCCACACAGAGGGGACTGTTTTTAAATCGCAGAACTTTCCATACCGGTCTGCTTCCCGGAGAGGTGAAAATCGTTGTCGTTTATTGCGAATTAATTTGGGCAGCAGCTTCAAGATGCCGCCCTCGAAAGAAATATGCGGCGGCGGTCGGTGCACGGATGTGTAGTTATTAGTTTCGTTTCTGTTCGTGTAATCGG